TGGCTCAGTGGTAGAGCGCTTGCCTTGCATGCCTGAGGCCCTGGGTTTGATTCCTCAGCACCACATAAGCAAAAAGAAAAAAGCCGGAAGTGGCACTGTTGCTCAAGTGGAAGAGCGCTAGCCTTGAGCTGAAGAGCTAAGGGACAGCGCCCAGGCCCAGAGTTCAGGCCCCATGACCGGACCAAAAAAAAAATAAAAAAGATGAATTTATGACCTTAGAGGGCCTTATAGTGTTAGACTCCAAAGGCCTTTCACTGGCTTGCACATAGGGTCAGGAGACCAATAGAAGGAATCCATAATGGAATCCATCTCAAAGGATCTGAGCTCTTCCTGAAGTTATAGGCAGCATCGTGGATTGGGATGTCTGTTTAGAGGAGTGTTAATTTTTATTACAGTGTATCTGGACGTTGGGAGAGTTTGAGACAGGGTCTTGCTATATAGTTCAGGCTGGTCTAGCACTTCTTATATTCCTGCATCAACTTCCAAAATGCCAGAATTACAAGCATGTACTACCATGTCTCACTGGTTTGTGCTGTGTGTGTGTGTGTGTGTGTGTGTGTGTGTGTTGCATGCAGTTAGTAGTGAGGGCCTTGCACTCTCACTCTGTTATTTTGCTCATGGCTGGCATCCTACTATCTGAGCTACATCTCTAGGTTGGCTTTTTTACCTGGCTACTTGGAGATGCAATACTCTAGGATTTATCTACCCAGGCTGGCTTCAAACCCTGAGGCTCAGATATCAAACTTCTGGAGTAGCCAGGATTATAGGAGTGAGCCACTGGCACCTGACTTCTTGCCGTTTTTATTAGATTCTTCAAAAAGGCCTTAACTCTCCTAAAGTTAGGATGTCAGCAAACATTTAACCTCATAAATCACTAAAGCAACAACAAGAAACATTGGTAAATACATACGGGCAGAAAGAAAAAAACAAACAGGTATTTTATGGGCCCAAACGCCCTTAAATATAGGAAGTTAAAATTATGAGAACTGGAGTATTAAGAGACTCTATATATAACGATGAAAAATGAGCTGCTCTGGTTAGATTCTACTTGCTTGAAATAATTCATATGATCTTTTATGTCAATGTTCTTAGACTCATATGAGACACAGCCTTTTTAGAATTGAAAGTGTAGAATTTCCTAGGAGTTCAAGTGCGCTTCTGACTTTGTGTTTACTTTTGGGAAAGTCATGTCCTCCTTGAAATCTTTATGCATCTGCCCTATTTGAAGAGCTCTACATTGATAACAGTTTTCAAATACTTTTTCTATAATAAACACACAATGGAACAATGAGGGTGACAGAGTAAGGTTTAATACTTAACTTACATTGAAAAATCTGGTCATGCAAAGACACTGTAGAAACTTCCAGAACCACTAGAGCCATATGTATTCCTATGACTATTATCACTCACACAAATGTGTACGGAATTAGATTCTTAGCCTAAAATACTTTTAAAGTGCCTTGGCCTAAGAAAAAAATCCTTAAAAGTGTTATTTTTGTTTTCAGGAGACATATGAGTTAATGTCCCAAATAATGCTACTGTACAAGCAGCCGTGACCTTTCAGCCTTATCTCCCCATTGTCAACTATGACAGTATAAGTGATACTTAGATCTTCTGTGTGTGTGTGCGCGCACACAAGCGCGTGCATGTCTGTGTGTTCCAGTTGTGTGGCTTAAATTCAGGGCCTGGGAACTATCTCTGAGCTTTTTTATTTGCTCAAGGCTGACGCACTACCACTTGTGCCACAGCTCTCTACTCTGACTTGTTTTTTTTTTGGGTCCGGTTGTGGGGCCTGAACTCTGGGCCTGGGCGCTGTCCCTTAGCTCTTCAGCTCAAGGCTAGCGCTCTACCACTTGAGCCACAGCGCCACTTCTGGCTTTTTTCTTTTTGCCTATGTGGTGCTGAGGAATCAAACCCAGGGCCTCAGGCATGCAAGGCAAGCACTCTACCACTGAGCCATCTTCCCAGCCCTACTCTGACTTTTGATTGTTCATTGGAGATGAGAGTCTCATAAACTTTCCTGCCAAGGCAAGCTTTGAACTGTGATCTTCAGATCTCAGCCTCCTGAGTAGCTAGGATTACAGGTGTGAGTAACCAGCACCTAGTATTAGATCTCTTTTTGCCCTATTGAACAGAGCTACCAAGTCAACAGAATCAACTGCATTTGATTCAGAGAGTGTATAATGAAGACCTTTTATTCTCTATGTACTAGGCCAGGGCCCCAAAACATGTAAATGCATAAATCAGTGCCATAGCCCATGTAATCCCCAAAAGGCTGAGTATTATCAAGAAGAATACACACACACTACACACACACAAACACACACATGTATATGTATGTATGTATGTATCTATCTATCTATCTAATTTCAAAGCAAACAGTGATACATTCTAGATATGACCTTAATATGTTCTTTTTCTTTTCAGGGATCAAAGACTTATTTTGGCTCATGATTTCAGAGTTTAAGTCCATAGTCACTTCTTTCTCTTTTTTTCTTTTCTTTTTCCCTCACTCCATCCCTCCATTCCTCTGTCCCTCCCCCCACCTTTCTTTCAAAAGGGTCTTGCTTATGCAGCACAGAATGACTTTGAACTCAGGATCTTCCTGTCTGTCTCTGTCTCTCAATTGCTGGGATTAGAAGTTTGTATCACCCTCTTTCTCTCTCCCTCTCCCTCTCTCCGTCTCTCTCATGAAAACCACAACTCATTTTTAATTCTGAGTTTGGTATGTGGTTTTCCCAAAGTATATGTAAAAGCATGCCAACACTCTTTATATTCTTTCTGTACCCTGAATTGAATGTCATCACCCAAACTCAAGTTGAAATTTACTATCCTTTGCGAGTTACTACAAGGGGAACCAGGTGGGATTTTTTAAAAAGGTTATTAGGTCTTAAGGGCAGGATTCATGAACTCCAGGTTGAATGGAATATCAAGGCAGTGATGCTGTTGAGCACCAGTGCTTTGGAGATCTTACGATGCAGCAGAAGATGTTGGTATCACCCTGTTTGATATCTGGCCTTCAGAACTGGGAGCCAAATAAGCTTTTATTCTTTATACATGACCTATTTCCTGGCATTTAGGTATAGCAACAGAAAACAGACTGGGCCGCCATCTTTGCTTCTTATTCATGGGAGCTCTTACTTTGCAATAAGCATGCTCGGCAGCTCTGGTTGTAGCAGCTCAAAGCTTTGGGCATACAAGCTTACAGACATATGAATGTAGCAATCACTTCAAAGGAGGCCAAAGATGACATATCACAGAAATCAATGGTTCTTCCATGTCTGTCCCTCTCACTTACCGGAGAAAGAGGTTCAGGAGGTGGCGGAGGTGGTGGCAGGTCCAACATGGGGTCAGCCGGTGGGGGCGGCAGATCATTTTCGTACTGGCTCACAGTCCTCGCAGTGGGCATTCCATAATCAGCAGAGGCAGCACCGCCATAACTGGAGGCCTCCAGAGGCGCTGAGGGGTGCTGATGCTGAGCAGGCTCTTTCTGTGTCTGGATAGTCCTCTGCTCAGCCTCTCGTATGTCTGCCACCAGATCCGCCATGAGTGCATCTAAATCTTGGTCTTCGAGTGCATTGAGGGATTCTGGGAGGGAAAAATCACATGACTGATAAAAGCCAACTGTTTGCCCCTGGAAATAATAAAAGCTGATCATTTTGATGGTAATCATTGAATAGGGGACAATCATGTTTAAAAATTTATTTTTTTGTGGGGTAGTACTGGGGGTTGAACTCAGGGCCTAGGCACTGTCCCTTAGCTTTTTTTTTTTTTTTTTGCTCAAGGTTGCTCTCTATCAGTTGAACCACAACATCCTTTCTGGCTTTCTTGTTGGTGCATTGGAGATAAGAGTCTCGTAGACTTTCCTGCTTGAGCTGGCTTTGAACTAGGATTTTCAAATCTCAGGCTCCTGAGTAGCTAGTATTACAGGCATGTGCCACTGGCTCCCAGCTGCAAATCATCATTTTTAGATGTTACCATAATGGAAAAGGTTGAAAACATTTTGTATTCAGGAGCAAACACCCAGGCATGGTGATACCTGAAATTATTAGCGCTGCATTTACTGAATGAGATCTGAGGGAGTTTCCAATAGGAAGAAAAGAAAAGGACAAAATATGTTCTACATAGAGATACCTTATAAATAGCTATAAAGTCAAATTAAAGAATAGGAACAGCTGTTAAGTCAGGGATTCTTTGTCATTTTATTGCAAGATCTGACTTAGGGTTTTAGAAAAGTAGGAGAGGGTGGAAGCTAGAGAAAGCATGGAAGGTGAGGGCTGCCCGGGCATTTGGATAGATATTTCTGGAAGGAAGCGGACTGTAACCAACTGTGTTTTATATTCCATTAGGGGATATACACAGAGTTTTTGAAAGACAAAAATTAACTTATGTTAGCTTATTATATTGATCATATGTAACCCATGCGGGTCTTTGAACTTGTGATCTTCCTGCCTTAGCCTCCTGAGCGCTGCTGGGATTATAGGGGAGTGCGACCATACCCAACTTAAGTACATTCATTTCTGAAACTTCAGCAACTGACTCTCTTGGTGGAATTGACTGGCAGGAATCATAAGCTTATGTAGTAAATAGAAAAGAATATAGGTAGGAAGAAGGCAAACTCAAAAGACATGTCCTATCATATAGAGAATCAGTCATAGGTGTCAACTGGCTAATCAAAACATGACTGAAAATGTAGAAACAAAGAAACTCAGGGAGGGATAAAAATAAACTTGGAACCCTGGATTTCCAGAATTGAGTTTCTCCCTTTTTTCCCCACACTCTTTGTAGCACTATAAATATTTGATAGATTTTCTTCAATATTTCCAATCCAAGTCTTGAAGTGATTACTTTTTATAATTTGAATAGCAAGTGAACTGAAGTTCTCTCTATACTAAATAAGATCTTTGTTAATAATGTCAATAGTGTCACTCTTAGGGAGAATTAAAAATGTCACACAGTAAATTGCATATAAAATATATGATATATAAATGAAGGTGTATTATATTTTAAACAAATTATATATTGAATTATTAATGTATTATCAAAAGCATCCATCATCATGAAATGGAAAATTAAATTTTATCCTTGAAGATCATTTTCTTATTAATATTATGCTATTCTGTAGTAATAAGAAGAAACTCTCACCTTTTTTTTAAAAAAAGGACATTTTTGAGACTTTTCACATATGCAGATGGAGTTCCTTGTCATAAGAAAATTTCTGACTTTTAAATTATAATTTTATTTTTTATTATTATTTGTAAATAGTTGTACAAAGGAGTTTCAATTCAACATGTCCATTTATGAGTACAATCCATCTCGATCAGCGTAACCTCTTCCATTGTTCTATCTCAATCCAATTGACTTTAATTTAATCTAGACACAGTAAAATACATTCTGAACTCTGATTATCATGATGTCCAAGAATCTTACATTTTATACTCAAATTGTGACACTGATTTGAGTCATCATAATGATTTCAAATTACTTAAGAAAAGTAATTTTTTATGCTTACCATTTAAATCTTTGAAGCCCACAGTGTAGTTAAATTCAGCGCTGGCTGGTTTAGGTTCAGGAGGAGGAAGAGTGTCCACTCCCAAACTCTGAAACAATTTCAAAGAGTTAACATACCAATGTTTCTGTAGTACATGTTAAACAGCAAGCACCAAAGCATCCATAATTCACCACGTTTTCTCTTAATTCTCTGCAGGTTCTTACCTGAAAATGTTTTATGTGGTATCTCTCCTATAGAGAATTACAATTAAAAAAATGATTCTCCAAGAAACCTTTTGGAACAGAGCATTTTAACTGAGGATAATGAGGAGATGGTTAATTTTAGTAAGCAATGAAGAAAATTTCTTATAATAACGAACACATATACTACGTATAATCTTACAAAGACATATGTAATGGCATCAAAGAAAGAAATATCTGGTCATTTGGAGTAGAAAAATGGTCCAAGATGTAATCTGCCATTATATGGTAACATGTTAGGCTTAATAAGACTTACTAAAAAGAGATTATATAGGATTGGGATATAGCTCAGTGGTAGAGCTCTTGCCTAGTATGTCTGAAGCCCTCAATTTGATCCCCAGCACTGAAAAAAAGAGAAGAAATCAGGACAGAATCACTTATTAGTTTTTGCACATAATGTTATTCTTACGTGGAAATAACTGACTTTTTATATGATTTAAAGCTATATGACATTCCAATGTACATATTCAAGGCCATTGTGTTGTAAGAAGTATGTTTTTATGACTAAATATATCCCTTGATGTTCATCTGACTTGGTAAAAAATATTCCAGTTCAGAAAATTTTCTGGAGGAAACAAATAAATATATACTCAAAAATAAAGAAATGAACTATACTCAGTGTGTGTGTGTGTGTGTGTGTGTGTGCTGATCCTGGGACTTGAACCCAAGGCCTGGATGCTGTCTCTGAGCTTTTGTGCTCAAGGCTAGTGCTCTATCACTTGAGCCACAGCTCCATTTCTGGCTTTTGAGTAGTGAATTAGGGATAAGAGTCTTCTGCACTTTCCTGCCAGGGCTGGTACTGAACTGTGATCCTCAGACATCAGGCTCCTGATTAGTTAGGATTATAGGTGTGAGCCATAGACACCCAATGAAGCATAATCAATTTTAAGCAGGAAAAAAAATCAAGAAATTTAAAAGAATTCAATCCTATCAAGTAAGAATCAAGTATAAAATGAAGGGTGGTCCTGACTTGAGAATTCATTTTTAAAAACAGAATAAACATGTAAAATATTGTCTAGAGAAGAAAACATGATGGATAAACAATAGGAAAAACACCAAAACAAAAAATTTAGTGAAAGGAAATACAAAAAAATGAGTTTGTGTTTTAGTGTTATTGTTGTCTACCTCTCAGTAGAGCCAATTAATTTTATCTCAGAATATAATTTATTGTGCTATTGAGTGAAATTAGAAGTAGTTCTCTTAGCAAAATGTTAATACACAAATACAAGTGTGTTGGCTCAGCTAGAATCTCAGCTAGAATCTCAGCTACCTGGGAAGCAAAGATTGGGAGGATCACAATTCAGGGTCAGCCCAGGCCAAAAGTTAGTGAAACCCCATCTCAATTAATAGCCTAGGCCTGGTAGTTTACATCTGTGATCCTACCTATCTAGGAGGCTATAGGTAAGGTGACAAAGGTCCAAGTTACTCTGTATGGAAAAAGGTGAGATACTACTTCAAAAATAAGTAGAGTCATGAAAGGGCTTTGTAGCATGGCTCAAGAGGTAGAACACCTGCCTAGCAAGTATAGGACTTTGAGTTTAAAGTCCAAAGTCTAGTACTGCCAAAAAATAGAGAGAGAGAGCAAGTGAGAAAGGAAAAATAAAGAGAACTAAAAAGAGAAAAAAAGAGAGAGAAGGAAAGAAAGCTAAGAAAGAAACCAATTTGAATTTGTAATAAAACAAGATTCTAGTAAGCTGAGGTGGGGGGGTAGGCAGAGGAACTGATTTTCCAAAAGAAGTCTGTTAGTGGTAAAAAGTTATTCAAAGCCCAAATGAAATGAAGCATGTAATGCTTTCCTCTCTGTGTCTGGTGAGGCCTGTGAAATAAGGTGCTATACAAAGGCATAACTATTTAAAATGCAAATGGCCTTGCATCCACTTGAACGTTTATTAAGAAAAAAATTAAATGAGAGCATCAAATTGGCTTTAGTTTAATTTAAAAATTGATTAAAGGGAAAGATTAAGAAACTAATAATACAAAACAAGATTGTAATTTTGGCATTTTCCATGAAGGCAAATGACTGAAGTTTCCTAGAGCTGGTTTCTATCAACCCTTTGACAACCATATGCTTGAAGTGCATTTCCATGGAACTTGCCTGCTGATAACTCCCACTTTGTTCCTTTCCAGTGCTTACCTGGAATTTTTCTAGAAAGAACTTTCTCTACTAAATAATTTGTTCCAAAGAATAGTGTAAGGAGGATCATAAAGAAGCTAAACTCAACACTTGATTTTTCTCTATTTGCACATTTCAGAACAATAATTTAATGCATTGGCGGTTTCCAATGGTGACCAAAAAATAAGGGAGTGTTTTGATTAGTGCTGGGGATGGATCAGTGGCCCTGGGCATACGAGATGAATGCTGCTCCATGGAGCTACACCCCTCAGCCTAGAAATTGTTTGTTTTTGTTTGTTTGTTTTGGCATTATTATGATCTGAAAGTTATTTTTTAACTACTTAAAAAAATTAAAAAACATTTTAAAATAGGTTATTAATTTATGGCTTCTCTGTTATAATTTGCTTGAGAAAGCTGACTTTATTTTATATCAATCTTACTTCTAAGTTTTCTCCTGTTTATTTCATATTTTTACATCTTTGATTCTTGGAACTCATTGGGAGTATAAAGATATGGTGAAGTGCAGCTTTTGAAAAATTTCCCAGATGTGTTATCCTATTGAAATTGATTCAATAATGGTATGTTTTCACTTACATAGGATGCACTCCACCTTTACCAAGTGACAGAGAATGATAATGCACAGGACAGTATATCATTAACCCTTAGGAAAGCTGGGGAAAAATAAATAGTGTCCTTGTACTGTTTTTTTTTAACTTTTCTGTAAGCTTGAAGTTATTTCAAAAGAAAAATACTTCGTATAAGTGCGTGGTGCTAGGGTTTGAACCTGGGGCTTTATAATATGCTCAATTAGTATCCTAAGTTACATCTTAGCTCCCAACTGTACCCTAATTTTTTGAATATATTTTTATTGTAAAAATACTGTACAAAGGGCTTACAGTTACTTGAGTAAGGTAACAAGTACATTTCCTATCGAGCATTGTTACCTCCTCCTTTGTTTTTCCCCTACCATCCTTTCCCACCTCCCCAACTCCTCCCTTCACCCCAAAGTTGTAAAGTTCATTTTCAACATAGTGTCTTGCACATCTCATTGTTACAATGGGTCAGCCTGCATCCTTATTTCAGCATTTTGTTATTTCACTTCCCCTCCCCAAATTAGAAAAATGAATATACAAGACGCAGGGCACTGGAATCAAATACAGTGAAAACAGCCAATAATCTCAAAAGGTAAGTTGATAATGGTCAAACTGAAGAACTGATGCTAAATCTGAGCACAGGTAGGTCCTTTCCCTTTCCCTAACCTTTGGGAGTTACTGGGAGAGATGTATTATCCAAATAAACTCTAGGACAATACCCACATAACAAAGAAAGAACAAAATCTCAAAGAGTAGGACTAGGGTCGGTCCAAGAGACTTTGTGATAGCTACTTCCTGCTCTTGAGCTATACTAACAGGCTGAAGTGTGATGAAATCCCAGTCTCTGACCAATCAGGATGGTTTTTCCTCCCACTGGCTTCTGAAGAGAGTGAATGACCACAGTGATTCATCAGAACTCTTATCTCTATGGGAGAAGAACCAAGTTCTCATCTATAGAAATATGCTTACATTTTAACACCTTTCATTAGCGCACATGCCTCCACAGAAACTAAATGCTAATTAAAATTAAAGATCTTCCAAAACACAGGCCCCCCAAAATTCAGGTTAAAAATTCAGAATCCCTATCTCATGGTAGAAGGCTACATTATTCTTTCTTGGATATTTTGCACAGGAAGTAATGACCTGAATTCTCTGTCAATCAAGGAAGTACTTCTGGGCACATTACAAGATACACCAAGCTTATGAGATTGTGACCTGGATCAGTGGCTGCTGGGCACTGGTTGACCTGACAGCAGGGTGACCAGTGAGGGCCATCAGGTCGTAGTGTCCTGCCTTGCTGAGTGGCTGTCTATGTGGAATGACTTCCATGCTCTTTTGAGAGGGCTGAGTTCTTCTGGTCCACTCAGGAGGCTACCATCATTCCCACTCAGATCCTTTAACACAGAGCACTTCCTCAAAGGCTGGAACGAGTCTTTACTGAAGATGATGTCATTGTCTCAGCTGGTCTCCATAATAAATATAATACCACAGACATTGCTCAGCAGTGGTGGTTGCCTGGCTGCCTTTCTCCATTGAGTATGGTAGTCATAGGCAATGCTATTAGAGAATGCTAGTGTGACTGACATATTAAATTAACTGAACTCACAAAGGTGAAATCAGGAAAAAGCTTTATTAATTTCCCATCACTGTCACAGTTCTACCAGAACTGTGATAATGTCAAACTCCAGTTTGCTTTATTTATTTACTTTTATGTTTGTATTTATTTGTGCCAGTCCTGGGGTTTGAACTCAGGGCCTGGGTGCTGTCCCAGAGCATTTTTTTTTTTTTTTGCTCAAGGCGACCACTTTAGCCACAGCTCTACTTCCAGTTTTTTGGTGGTTAGTTGGAGATAAGAGTCTCACAGACATGATCCTCAGAGTTTAGCTTCTTGAGTAGGTATGATTACAGGCCTGAGCTCTAGGCAGCTCCAGCTTTTTGGAGACCACATTCTTGTCATATTAATATCAAATTCTATGGGCTATGTTCCCCTCTAATTTGAAGGTGAAGAAGGAAAGCTTACCTGGGTCAGAAGATCCATCTCCCCCAGCAAAGTGCTGAACATTTGGTCTATGTCTTCCCCGGAGTCATCCATCTGTGAAAGGAAGAAAAACAGACATGAACAATCTGATAAAAATGTATACAGGGCTGGTTGTCAATTTATTCTCTCTCTAAGAACCTGTCCATGAGCAGGCAAGCTGGGAAGAGCACTCTGCAAAAAGGGAGATTTGTTTTACTCCCAAATTCCTTCTAATTTGCACGGTCCCCTGTTGAGCCAGACCCTGGGTATGGCTGCCTGGCTATAATTGAACTTTGTTTTCCCAAGCTGAACATTGAAAGAAATGGATGTTGTTCTGGGCTTCACCTTGGCACAGGATAACCTGTTCCAGATGAGAAAATCATTACCAACCCCCCTCCTCATTTTGTCAGAGAAATGTAAAACATTTACCTCCATTTAAAAATGTATGCTAAAATGATATGCCAGGAGTGGGTAGCCACATTTACCAATTATTCCTTTCAAAGGTATTTCTGGAGTAAGTGCAGCTTTGGGCACATTTATTTGTGAGTACAGGATAGCGATCATTTAGAGCTAAAAAGACCATAGGGACAAATAAAAAGAAATGGAAAGAATGTTTTATATTACATTCTCCCCCTCACCCCCAAACCAAGTGAAACAATTACCTAAGAGAGGAAAAATCAGGGTTGCTGGAAGCTAGTGGCTCACACCTGTAATCCTAGCTACTCAGGAAGCTGAGATCTGAGGATCACAGTTGGAAGCCAGCCAGGGCAGGAAAGTCCATGAAATTCTTGTCTCCAATATACTACCAATAAAGTCAGAGGTAAAGCTATGGCTCAAGTGGTATGGCTCAAGGCCTATGACATGCACGTGCATGCACACGTGTGCACACACATATTGTGTTGTAATAAAACAGGCAGGTGCCCTAGGAAGTATAACTATCCACTCTCTTTCCTGACAGTTGGGGCATGGCTGGGTTGGGCAATGGAGAGCTAAGAATGTCTCCCTCTGCCGCTGCTGCAAGGTTCAATGTGGCAAAGGAAATGAATTGCTTCATCTGTAGAATGTACATTTGTCTGAGGATCATTTCTAAGGGTCTAAGTGCTCTAGCGCACCATAATATGCATGCCCATCATAGTTAAAACAAGTGGCCTGCTAAAGGTCAAGATCAGAAGGTCAGGTTAGCAGGGTGCTGGTGGCTCAGGCCTGTAATCTTAGCTACTCAGGAGGCTGAGATACGAAGATCATGGTTCCAAGGCAGCCTGGGCAGGAAAAAAGTCCAATAATAAAAAAACCAGAAGTGGCTCAAGTGGTAGAGTGCAAGCACAGAACAAAAATATCCAAAACATGTTCTGTGCTGAATACATCACATATTTTTTTCTTATCATGATTTCCTGACAAAACACTGTATGAGAAAGAACAGCGCTGGAAGAATAGCAATACCAAATTTCAAACTCTACTACAAAGCCATAGTAATCAAAACAGCTTGGTACTGGCACAAGAATAGACCTCAGGATCAATGGAATAGAATTGAAAACCCAGAAATGAACCCACAGACCTATAGCCATCTAATCTTCGATAAGGAAGCTAAAAAAATAGAATGGAAGAAAGACAGCCTCTTCAGTAAATGGTGATGGCAAAATTGGTTAAACTCCTGTAGAAAACTAAAGCTAGATCCTTATATATCAGCCTGTACCAGAATCAACTCCAAATGGATCAAAGACCTCAAAGTCAAAGTAGACACTCTGAAAACATTACAGAATGAACTAGGAGAAGCCCTAGGTCTCCTTGGCACAGGCCGAAATTTTCTTAATAGAGACCCAGAAACACAACAAATCAAAGAAAGGTTGGACAAATGGGACGGCATGAAATTGCAGAGCTTCTGTATGGCGAAAGACATAGCTAGCAAGATCAATAGAAAGCCCACAGATTGGGAGAAGATCTTCACTAGCCATACAACAGACAAGGGTCTCATATCTAAAATATACCTGGAGCTCAAAAAATTAAATCCCCCAACAACAAATCTTCTAAGAAACAACTGCCCAATAAATAAGTGGGATAAAGACTGAAAGAGGAACTTCTCTGAAGAGGAAAGAAGGATGGCCAATAGACACATGAAGAAATGCTCAATCTCTCTAGCCATAAAAGAAATGCAAATTAAAACAGCATTGAGATACCACCTCATTCCAGTTAGAATGGCTATAATCAAGAACTCTAATAACAACAGATGCTGGAGGGGATGTGGACAGAAGGGATCCCTACTGCATTGTTGGTGGGAGTGTAAACTTGTTCAACCAGTATGGAAAGCAGTATGGAGGTTCCTCAAAAGACTCCACATAGAGCTCTCCTATGACCCAACAATCCCACTTTTGGGCATTTACCCGAATGTTCACAAACAAGACCACACTAAAGCTACCAGCACGACTATGTTTATTGAAGCCTTATTTACCATAGCTAAGGTATGGAACCAACCCAGATGCCCCTTAGTAGATGAATGGATCAAGAAAATGTAGTATATATACACCATGGAATTCTATGCCTCCATCAGAAAGAATGACATTGCCCCATTTGTTAGGAAATGGAAAGACTTGGAAAAAATTCTACTAAGTGAAGTAATCCAGGCCCAAAGAAACATAGGTCCCATGGTTTCCCTTATTTGCAATAACTAGTATATGTCTGAGTCAAGCAGAAAAGGTCAGATAAGTTGATGTTAGGGAAATGAACCCTAAGATATGTATTCAAATGTTTTTTTTCTTTCATGTGATTTTTTGTTGCTTTGTATGTCCCTCTCCCACAGTATAACCCCTGCTTTCACTGTATTTGATGTTGGTATAATTTGTGGAGGGGAAGGGAAAAACAAATCGTTTAAATAAGGATACAGGTGGACCCATTGTAACAATGAGATGTGCAAGTCATATGTGGAAAACGAACTTTACAGCTTTGGTGGGGGAGGGGGAGGAGGGTTGGGTAGAGGATAGGGGAAGGATGGGACGGGATGGGAAGGGGAAACAAAGGAGGAGGCTACAATGCTTGATAAGAAATGTATTCATTATCTTGCCCATGTAATTGTAATCCCTCTGTATGGTATTTTCACAATAAAACAAAACAAAACAAAAAACATTGTATGACAACTACCCTCATGCACGACCTAATGACCCCTGAGCTTTTATTTTTAGGCTAACCAACAGACTGCACAGAGCCTTCATGAGCCTGTGATTCCCTTACCTGCTGACTCAGTAGTGTTTGAGTTTATGCAAGTCCATCTTATGATCTCATGACGATAAAACTGTCTAATGGCGTATTACTTAGAACCTGCCTTCACGGTTAAGTGACAGGTGATTGTGGTGACACAGACTGTGATTACACTGTTTCAGGTAATTAATCTAGAGGTGACAGAAAGTCCACAGAGATGAGTGTGCAAATGTCAGAGACTTGAGCATCCTTGTATTTGCATGTCCACAGGGTTTCTTGGGACTCATTTCTACACACTCTGCCAAACAAGGGCATTTGCTCCAAACATATTTACCTGAATATGCATGTACACGTGTTTGTTTTTGTATGGAAACTTTTAAGTGTGTACATTTATATGTACACTTATACACTTGTATATATAATGTATGAATTTAAATATATGCAGAATGACATGACTGTTTACTTGTGACTCGACTTTAACAATGATTAACTCATACATTTTAAAAAATTGTTCTCAACTTTTTTCATGGTTTTAACTATTTTTATTAGCATCTATTAGTTGTATAGCAGGATTCATTTTTAACATATCCATTTATGTAAACAATGCTTTATTTTTTTTTTTGTTGGTACCATATTGGGATTTGGAAGCAGAGTCTGGTCACTGTCCCTTAGTTTTTTTTTGCTTAAGGTTGGCATTCTACCACTTGAGCTTTGGGTGGTTTAATGGGGATAGGAATCTTATAGACTCTTCTTGCTTGGGCTGGCTTTGAACCTTGATTTTCAGATCTTAGTCTCCTAAGTAGCTAAGATTACAGGTGTGATCCACCAGCACATCACTACCATGCATTTTGATCATAATCATCTCCTCCATCACTTTCCCTTCTGTCCTCCTTTTCCCTTCCCAAACCTGTCTCAAGTGCTCCGTTTTTGCACAAGTACCTGCAGTCTTTCAACTATACTGGCCCTCACCCACCCCCTCCAATAGTACCTACACCCCAGACAAGTCATGTTTCAAATTCCTAATATTCTTTGTTATTAAAGCTCATGTTAATTGTTCAAAGGGGCTTCACTAACTCATGACCTTTTGATTTAAGGGTATCTCTATATCTTCCTTCAATAGATGATGAGGATGAAGATGATGAGGATGACACTCATTATGTAGCCCAGGCTGACCTCAAACTCATAATCCTCTGCCTCAGCCTCTTGGGTTCTGTGCAATCCTATACATAATAACAATAATAATTGTTGTTGTTGTTGTTCGTGAAGCCTGAACTCAGGGCCTACGTGCTGTCCCTGAACTTTTCTGCTCAGGCTAGTGCTCTACAACTTTGAGCCATAGCTCTACTTCTGGTTTTCTGGTGGTTAATCGGAGATAAGAGTCTCATGGACTTTCCTGCTAGGACTGGCTTCAAACCTCAATCCTCAAATCTCAGCTTCTGGAGTAGGTTGGATTACAGGCATGAGTCATCATCATGGGGCAATTATTTTTTAATAGATTGTTTTAAGCAAATTATTATTTTTCCATAAGAACCTCAGTATGTAGAGCTAAAAGACAATAACTGAAAAAACTATAATACTATTATCTGTTATTAATATAATTTATTATACAATAGTATATAATGATATAAGAGTATTATAATAGTATTACTAATAAACTACTATTGCTATTATCTGTTATCATCTATTAGATAATTCTATTATTTCTGCATGGATGTTTACATGTATACATATATATTTACATATATTTATGTATTTATGTTGAAAATAACTTACGTATTGAATTAAGCTGAGTCTAGGCCAGTCTATTTTTTTCTAAAATAACTAATTGTAACATGCTTTGTCTTTTCTTTTTCCTGGCCCAGGGCTTGAACTCAGGGCCTCACACT